TGCGATCAACTGTATTGTCTTCCTCGGTCTAAAAGCGGCCTTCGAGTGAGTCGACCGCTCTAAACACTCACGCCACCTGTACCTGAAAGGTGTGTCCGCGAAGTCTGTTTCAATATTAGAATACCTTCAGTCTAATAGATGAAGGTAAGTTTGAGCTTACGGAACGTTTGCATCCGAGTAAACGACGGAAGGTGGTGTTCGTCAAGGTAGATCTCTCTCTCTCCCTTTCTGTTCAACTTTGTTTTACATTTGATTGTGGAAACAACCCTTTAGAATTGCGCGGATAGTAGCATTATATTGCTTCCGGGTGGTAGATTCGGTGACATAGGTCCCGTTAGGCTTCCTGGCCAAGCTAAGACCTGGCATGAGGGTATGAAAACCTTAACCAGGAGTCTGGGTCACATTGGTCTCGTTAGGCTCCCTGGATGGGGACCTCGGGATGATTGTAACCGATGGTTAGACACACTGAGTGATATGGCTGGGTATCGAAAACAGTGGCGTTCGTGCATCTTCTCAATCTTTAGGTGTTTTAGTCCTAAGTAAGGTGTTCAAGCTCTGGAAGTGCATGTGATGCGCTACCGACGTTCATCACGCAGCTATCCAAGTATGAGAAGTAATCAACTTCGGCTAATTTCTGACCATCCAGTTTGAAAACGAGACTCGGCGACATCCGGTCTTGCAGGGAAACGACATCGTCAGTGTAGTCTAGGTTGTATTGCCTTTCTCCGGTTGCCTATTTAGTCGCGTGAGTGCGAGTCACATGAAACGGATCAAAACCAAAGTAAAACTGGTATGAAACCAAAATGCATGAGACGATACAGCTCGGTGACTTGCTGAAGCTGAACATCGCTATTCTTGTACAGTGAGAGCACACTCTTGAATATTATCAAAGTACGGTTCAAAAGAAACGGTGACAAATGGAAACCCTGACGAACACTATTGTTCGAGGCGAGAACTCGGTTCAATGTACGCTCCGAGGCACAAATGTCGTCGCGTTTAAAGACTAAATGAGAGAAACACGTTTTTCTTGATCATTTACCAATAATGAAAGAGTGGTATAGAAAAATGATCACATCATAGACGAAAATTTATTTTGAAGTCGAGATAGAATAGGATAATCTCATTTGGATTTGAACGATCCCGGCCCTCAAGCGCACACTATGCGTGTTTAATTCATGGCCTAATATATGATAGTTCAACTGATACAAGTATAATTTTTGTGAATCTACGGAAGGAAGCAGTAATATCTACTCAAAATAATTCGATTGAACTCGTGTGGTTTTCAAAACAATTTCGCTAAACCGAAGATCGAGAGAGAACCTCTAACCCGAACCGTTTAATGAACAGCACATATGGTAGTAAAAACAACAATTTTGCAACAGTCTAAATTATCGATCACACAAAACATTTTGTTCCTATCCACGAAAGCGTCGTACACGATCCCAAGCGTACTCGGAAAACGAAAGTGGTAGCCAGTCCGATCGCGCACAAAGCAAAGCGGACAAGGAAAGTAGGTCTGTTCCCATCCGAACTCCGATAGAGAAAAAGACGTCAAAAAAATGTACTTCATCATCAGATGAATACCGTTCGATCGTCCAACTCAATAGACCGACCGGAAACGTAAATGACCATTAATATGTGATTACGCATTATTTATCGACCATGGAAGAAGACGATGAGCTTTAGGGATGTAGAAAATCGGATGGGCAATGAGCCGGATCTCGTCGAAATAATGAGAGAGAAAGAGATATGTGAAATTGGATTATTCTTACTCGGCATGTTGCAGTTTGCAAAAACAAAAACAGATGACCGTATACAAAGCGAAGAAAGAAAAATCATGACTTGTGTTCCCACGGATTTTCCCATCACACACACACACACAAAGACACGACTGCAAACCGGGATTGATATATCGGCCGATTATGCAAACCGACGTAGAACGGAATGGCTTAGGGGAACGCACACAGTGCAGTTCCCATCTTGTTAACCCATCGCCATGCCCCTCCCCCCTGTCATCTTCTCACTCACCCCCAAATGAAAACAAAGAGCTAAGCTCCCTCAGTTTGAGGAAAGTCGGGAATGACAATTGAAGCGGACGAGTGTGAGAAGGCTAATTGGGTGCATGAGGGGAACGAGGTAAAGCACACACATTCACTCTCGTCTGTCAGTCTCATCGACCAAACGCGTGACACACGAAATTGAAATGGCCACCACGACACCGACTGAGAGTAGGAAGAGAACGTGGGACACACTGGTCAGGTTATTTATCGAAAAGGAATGAAATCACGTGGTATTATGTTCATTCGAATACTGTTGAGAAAAGTTACAAGAGAGCTAATTCTCAACCGGAGCGAGTGATTCGGACCGAAGCATCATGGTAGAATAATGCTACAGTGCTAATGAAAGAACTGATTTTTCGATATTATAACAATCTCCAAAAAACAGGCTTTGTGAACTTTGAGTCAACTAAATCCGAATTGAATCGATTGGACGTAATTTATCTCTGAGCCATCAGATATGATTATTTTAAATATACTGGGGGGGGGGTCACGATGGCTGTGACACACTTCAGGAACGAATTACCACAACTAATGATGGGAAAGAGCAGATGGAAAGGAATCTGTTGCGTGGGACCATAATACACTGTAAACGTGAAAAACAGGGATATTCTCCTGGCACAAGTTACGCGAAAAGTTCGAGGCACAAACGACTAAGCAATGAGATATCGAAATCCGTTTGGTATTTTGGTCCACGGGTAGGAACGAATGCGATGCGATGGAGGTGCAAAACGCGTACATTGAAATGATCATAGATCTATAGAAAAATCAAGGAATACACTAAACATGTGTAATACTTTCTATTGGTAGGGAAGTATTAACTACACGGAATATTTGGAACGTATGAGTTTGACTCATACATGAGAGGGGGGCGGGGGGCGGGAGGGAGGGAGGGAGGGGGAACGCGTTTTGGTGAATCAGTCAAGCAACAGCACAAGGACAAACAGATCTGCCCTCGGGTGACTGCTCCGACTGAGCTGTTTCGTGCATCCTTGTTTGGCCAGTGTAATTTCATTCAATGATTAAATACAACAGACATCAACTAGGAATTATGCTACAATCGAGAGGAAGCAGAAGAAAAAACTCACAGCCAACAAGCATGACACAAATAGAGAATATCTTTTCCGGATTCGTGTTCGGGCTCACATTCCCGAATCCGACCGAGGTCAGACTGGAAAAGGTGAAATAGAGGGCGGTAATGTATTTGGACTTGGTGCACGGACCACTATCCGACCGATTCCCATAGGGTATTTGTAGTTGACCAGCCAACTGATCCAGCCATCCGATTCGTACGTCAAATTGTTGTCGTTCAATATTGCCCACGGCGTACCAGATGCACGCAAGCCAATGAGCGATCAGTACGAATGTGGCCATGAGCAAGAGGAGCACGGCCGCGCCGTATTCGGAATACCGATCCAATTTACGCACAACACGGACGAGGCGAAGCAGTCGGGCTGTTTTCAACAGCCCAATTAGCGTGGCCATCTACGAAAGTGGGGCAAAAGACAATGCTCGTGTAGCAGCCGAGTGGAACGGCAAGGTCTGATTGTAAAATCCTTGGTAAATCAGTGCAATATAGGAAAAAACATGCCACGGAATACTTTTGTGGTGGTAATCACCGAAAGTGTCGGGCCAGATCTGGGCAACGGTCATTATCCTGATACCACTACACGTTTTATACAGTCTGTTATCTTTTAGAAGAAAGCGAAATAAAATCAGGAAAGAGAATAAGTGGACGCAGAAGTGGTAGTGTTCATTATCAGTTATTCATAAACGTGCTCATGCATCCACTACGCAATCGATGCGGAAGAAAACATGGATGGATGCAACCAGACATGTTGCAGTTCGAACGATCGAATCGCGATAAGTGTCACCAGTGTGAATCCAAATATGCTCTAGCTGAGTTCTACACCACACTTCACTACACCGATATCTTTTTCAAAGGTGAATTCGTCGTGTATATAGCAAATGAAGCGTGAACTGAAAAGCTAGGAAGCACTGGACAGCTGTTTTGACCTGGTTGGGTCTCATCAGCAGTACGAATCCATCGACCCAAATGAGGATAGAACCCGGGACTTCGTGGGCAAAACGCAAACATGCTACCCACTCAGCCACCGGGCAGCTGATCAGACTGAATTTTTCATTTTCCATTTACACGATATGGCACAACCCATCTTTGCGAGCTTGTTGCAGGCCACAGACTCTGTTCATATCAGCACTAGCCACCAGGTTTATGACTCGGTTGTGAACTTTTACAACCTTACTACTGATTTCATATCCGTGGCCATCACACTCGCTTATACCAAGACTGGTGGTACAGCATCGCACTAAAAAACATGAATATCGTTGATCAGGTACCGGTTTGAAATCTTTCGCACACTAGTACCCATCACTTGGGTGGTACACGTCTTCACAGCGGTTTGATCCAATATTTCATCGAGGCTACCGGCAATTTACCAATCCAATGACCGAACTGCGTTGTCCCATGACGGATCTTGGTCCAAGTGGAATTCACAGTTCACTGTTCAATAAAAGCATACATTCATTTGAATCTATCAATCACTAGCCATTGTTATATTAAAAACTTGGATGCCGAACATCCTGCAACATCCGGTTATTCAATTGGTGTATGTCCTCCGGAACGATTCCGGATTACTCGAGGCTTGCCCGGATAAGACCCATTCCCAAGAAGGATTCTTCAAAGTATCAACCCACTATTTGTGACCCAGTCCTATTGAAAGATTTTGGAAAAGTTCCATTGAAACGGATGACTAACATTTCTGATGCTAACGACCCTGTTCGTTTTACTTGCATATGTTCACTTTCGACACATGACACAATTGCGTCAGTTGTTAATTTCGTGGCTTTGGTTTTAGACAAGAGGGCTGGAACAGTTTGCCGTATTTTCCTTGATTATGCCGATGGCCTGGGTTAAATTGTCCGTCCAATTCTCATTGGAAGTCTCGTTGACTACGATACAGGATCCGACGTGTTCAACGTAGTTCGAAGCAGTTTCTCTCTCAGGGGGAACTTACCTCATTCAGTAGTAGAACTTTGTCCTTCGTTTACGTTAACTGCGGTGTTTTTCAGCGGGAGGGGAGGGGCATTTGATCTCTATTATTTCTGCTCAGACCATAAACAACCTGCCTGTTCCTACCAACTTTATTGCCTGCAATAATGCTGACGTTGTGGTGATTGAGTAACGATGCATATTTCCGCTAATCTCGAGACAATCTGGACGACGCTTTTGGTCAGTTTCTGCCCCAATCTCTTATTTTCCAAAAGTGTTGATGTTTCTTGCAACCAGTATCAAACCACTTTGAATGATCTATCTGAACTCGTTACTAACCGTCACAGCATTCTCAAAGCTGAGTCTACTAAATACTTCAGCGTACTTCTATCCCACAAGCTCTTCTGAACTGGTCGTGCAAAGAATGTTTATGCTAGGATTCCTAAACTTGCTTTTTATGCTTTCAGGTTCAGGAAACTCGCTGTTGCGCCAAATGTGATTTTCAAATTTGTGGTCGCATTGGCTGCCAAGTTCATGTGCCCCGTAAAAAACGACAAACTAACACAAAAAATATCCACAAGCGTACGGTGAAACACAGAAAAAAATTTGTTATTTTAGTTAACTAAAATTTTCCTATGTAATTATTTAACATCCCAGTCCATTCATCCCCTGATATTCTTATTATTGTTGTGGCGTTGGCATTATGCTTGTCCGCAAGCCGAAGTGCTTGCACACAATAACATCATCTACCAGGACACTTCTTGTTATGCCACTACATCTGGAATAGAGAGAGTTTGATAGATATAGGATTTTTGTTATGCGCAAGCACATGGATGCATGCGAAAAAATTTCTTGAACAAAGAAAATCACTGTTCGCACAACGAACCCAATCAAGTCCGGGCAAAAACCTCGGACATGCGACCCCACTATAAGCCCCACCTCTGCAGGCACCACCACACAATGAGAAACAGCCTCGTGCATTATCTTGTCCATTGTTTTGGTGAACCGGACACCAGTTATTGCAGGTCCAGTGGAACATCTCATGAGTCGGTATTTTCAATCCATTACGATCATCATCTTCTTCCACGCGGTATGTTGTCGTTTTGTTCACCCCCTCTGAACTGCCAGGCATTTCTTTCCTGTCTGCACTGTGCTCTCGTGAAAATCGCTGAAAATTCACTATTAACGGGAGCATACAAATCATTTTGACTTAACTTGTTTGAAGCGAGGATGTTGATTCTGGCGAATGGCATTGGCCACAGATACAGGCAAGCACCACGCGGTTACAGGTGACCACGTTCCAGTGGATACGCATTCATCCTGGTAAACACAGCTGGCTAGAATGATACTTAACCGGCTAAGGCAGTCGAAAATATTACTTCGAAGGGAGTAAAATGGGAATACAAATGCACACACACACACACACACAAAAACTGACCTCGTCCGTTTCGGCACCGAACAGTAACAAATCGAACGGGATCGCTGCGACCACATCGATCAGCAGCCAACCCTTGAAGTAGTGAACGGCAATCCGACCAGGATGGGAAACCAGTTCATCGTTCTTATTCACATAGGTCGTGCGAAAATTGATGAGAATATCAATGATGAACATGACGTCCACAAACAGATCGATGATTTGCAATGGATTGTAATAGGTCGTCAAACCGCTGTACCGACCCCAACCATCCTGTAACGCATACGGGGACGAGATGGATGGATAGATAGTCAGGTATAGGATCATGGCGACGAGAAAGTAACGTGTGGGGACGGGGACGGGAAGTAGGTAAACAGCGCAAGAATAAACGGTGAGTGCGGAATCGATTTCCAGATGGAACAGAGAAAACCACTTAGTCACATCAATGTCGCAAACCGTATTCACATTCGCTTCCGGGATAAGTGCACCCCGGGGGATACTATGAGTGGAAACGAGCACTAGGCACTGGAAAGGGTAGTGAGTGAGTGAGCTCTGCGAGGATAGATGCAAATGCTATCGCACCACACATGATCATATGACGGGGGAAATGATCTACTTGTCGCTGTCTAACCTGGGCATTGAGAACCAGTTGCAAACAATAAAAAGAGGATCAAATACACATCTGCTGGTGTTGGTGGGTGTTTCGAGCGCGAAAGTATGGGTTACAATTGTCATTAGCATCCACATCTATAGCCCCAGATACAGTCACTCCACATAATAGGTAATTACATCAAGATGACTTGCAAGGCGTGACGAAATTGAAACAAATTCTTGATTAAGGAGAGAATAACAATGAACACGTGCGATTGAAGAAACCATTTCTTTCCACGGGAGCTCGTATACAAACAGAAAGAGTCCGTTAGACGCCGTGCTTTCTATCCCCTCTCTCGCTCTCTCTCCCGTTCTAGCACCATGTGTGCTTGCTCTCCCGTTACATTTAGAATAACCAGGGGCTTTGACAACGGAAAAAACATGATCGTGTCGTTTCAGTGACGAACGCGGTGGCGCTGACCGAATTATGCGACCCGGTCCTATTCGGATACTGGCTTGAATCGGGGATTGAAAGACTGTGATAATGTACCATTCGCGTGTGAATAAGAACAGAACGGGAAAAAGCAAGAACGGAAAGTAAACAGGAACATTGCGGACACCAGGCAAACATTACGAGACTGTGACCGAACGGGGGGGGATGAGAGGAGTTGAGAGAGTTGACGCGAGTGAACAAAACACGCACGTGATAGCGTCGCCGCAATTTGGCCTCCTGGAGCAAAAATGCCGCTGTGAACGGAGTGAATATGGCCGTATAGATGACCAGGACTAGGACCAGCCAATCCCAAACAGCTTTTACAGGACCGTAATGTTTCAGTGTGAACGGATGAATCCGGGGTGCGTGTAATTTCTGCTCGGGATTGACATCCGGTCCAAGTGACAGCATCTGCATGCAACAGGGGAGAGAGAATAAGAGAAACAATGAGGCACATGATAACCAGTAGTTGGAGTGGACCAGAGGATATCGGAGTAACGTAATGGGACGGACTAATTCGAACACGATAGCTAACGTCAGAACTGAGTGAACAAACGCAATTACGGTCGTACACGCAGAACAGTGCGCTGTGAGACGAATGAATAGTTATGACCAGAAAGGGATAAAAGAAAACATTAACAACGAAAAGCACGCGTATCCTTGGTGCACACTATAAAACGAGCATAGAATGATGCGCTCAATAGACCGCATGAATACGTCTCCGTAACGGGGAAGTAATGAATGGTTGCTTGTCGGTGTCACATGAGACGAGGAAAAAAAAATATCTGAGTTGATCACAGAAGGGGCGACAGGGGAGAATCCATTTAGAGGAACGAGATCTCACGCCATCATTAAGCATATGAAATCAAGCATACTGCTTATGGTGGCCATTTAATAGGGAACGGAAGAGGAGGATATTAGATAACAGAAGAACAGAAAATCGTTTCGGAAGTGCTATCCTCATTGACACTGAGGTAGCCGAATGCCATTCAGACAATCAAAGTCCGCGTTAATCGCTGTGCTGACGAAAGCATAACATCACCACATCATCCTAAGCTAGTTGACACAGATGTGGCACATACATGTTTGCACAAAATTTGAATTCAAAAACTGATTCTCGCCCCCCCCCCCTCTACCATGTTCCATGATGAACAGTTTGAAAAAAACAACGTGATCT